GGGATGGGGATACACATTTCATAAGACTTACAACCAATTTACTTTCTAAACCAAGTGCAACTATATATGTATGTTAGTATAATGCAAGTTATCCTCCTAATTTTTCCTTTGAAAGATTTGCTTAAAAACTTACCTTATAATTAATATTTTCAAAGTCAACTATTGAAATAAATATTTTATTCATGTTAATAATATATATTAAATTTTAAATTAATATAATATTTATAACTCTTTAATGAATAAACTCTATATGTTTGTTAGCATTAAATTTTATATACTCAACAATCTCATTTGATAGACAAGGTATTTGTACTGAAAAACTTGCGGCTTATTCAAAGTAGTTTTGGGGGAGCATCTTGATCCAATAAAAATTGCGAATCCGTGCATATCTCATCATGTTTTTGCTTTATATGTATAGATAAACAAACCATATCTCTCGAATGGCCTGTTATGATCCAGTGGCATTAAATTTTGGATTAGAACTGTTCACCTCTTGTGAGTGACGTGTTCGAACCCATGAAACTCATTTCTACCCTCTCCATATATACCTGTAAATAATGCCAAAAATTGTTCAAAAAAAAAACAAATCATATCTCCCTTTGGCTTCTGGTATTTTTCAAGGTATTGTTTAGACTTCCTACAAAGCACTTTTGCCAGAAATGGTAAATTCTTCATATTTAGAGTTGAAAGTGGAAGTATTCCCAGCACAACCCAAATGATCCAAGAATGTCACAGTGGGGGGCATATTGCAGGGAATAGCAATTATATATGCATTGGTTTCCTCAGACTCCATACGAGGAAGGCTTGGTCTTACCAGGTAGATGAGTTCAATCACACAATTCTAGTCTTACAATTGCTATCTAGTCTTACAATTGCTATCTAGTCTTACGTTTTTTTACCCTAGTATTACCATTTGCTTTGTTTGGTCTTTGTTGCTTTGATACATGAAAGATCAACAAATCAAAACCTTTTATTTCATAAATAGTGTGAAGATTTAGGTTCAGATAAATAAGATGAGTGAACATTTTTCTACGAGGAATGGTAGGACTTAACTGTTCCAACTAAAGCAATTGCTTCACCAAGTGCCTCCAAGAGATGATCCGGATAATCCTCAATGCAGGCAAAACCATGCTGGGGTTGCAGGGAGCTTAAGATCCTTCCAATGATCTGAATAAACAAAACAAAAAGTGTTACAAAATTAGTTGGAAACGTGTTCATTTTCAAGAAATCTTCCAAGAATAGAAAAAGACTATTGAGAGCTTGATAATCAACCTTCCGAGCATAGCCACCATATGCTATGCCACCGATTATAGAATGCTTTTGCTTAGGTTCACCTGCTGTCAAATTTTCACTCAATGAGTTCTCTTGAATATGGGGGGAAAAACACAACAGAAATTAAGGTATTTTATAACAGAACGTGGGAAGAGAAGAGCTTGAAGGAAACAAAAAGGAGATGAAAGTGTAAGCTGTACATGTTTGAAAAAGTCCCTTTCTCTTCAGACCATCGACAGTATGAGCATTGGTACCACCCGCTAATTGAAGAAAACCTACAAAAACAGAAGAATTGACTAGCAACATGTGTTTATGTATCCAATGATTGAACTAAAAACCTTAATGCTAACCGGGAGGTCTATATTTGGCTGAAGCCAAATGAACAGCAAATTCAATTGATTGCCTTGTGGCACCCTGTCCAATATCTCCACTCATTGGGCGGCCATCCAACTGTAAAGATTCACATTTTTATGGCACATGCCAGATGAAGTAGTGAGAAGGTAAAATTAGAGGAGATAAACTGATTTTATCATTCAAATTTTGTTCAAGCACTTTCATAGCTTATCAAAAATAGACCATACCTGCCATAAATTGAAGCAAGAGAGACAGGGTTGCATAACAGAGTACATTGAGTTCATTGAGGACACAGTCTCATCCCCAATATTGGGTAAGCTCACCTGGAAACTATAAAGATCAAATGACACTCCTAAAATACTGAATAGATGATTTACTAGATAACCAAGTTACTTATCACCGGCACAGAAAGATTCTCTACTTACGGCAACCAGTCTCAGATATGTAATTGAATCATCCAAACCATCCCAGAGTTCCCTAAAGGGTTTGATCTGTCTGCAAAACAAAATGAAGGTTTTTGTTTGCAGTGAGTAACTTTTGGATTTGGATTAAATTCAATTATGAAAAAAGTATATCCATCTTGCATGAAAATAATTGTCACTGTGCCATCAAGCACATTGCAATCAATTTGTTTGTTTCTCATAGAAAAGTTTCATTTAACAAGTCCTGAAAATTATCAAAAACAAAAAAGAACAATTCTGTTTCCCACTACTTCATTTTTCAAGAAAACATACCTTGCACTTGTGTGTATTTCTACAGCATCAACATCATCCCTTCTAAGAAGTTCAGCTGTGGCAGCAGTATCTCTTACATATGTAACCATTCCTAAATCAGATTGGAAAAGTTAAAATGAAAAGAAAACATATGAAAGAAACCAGGACAAAAACTTGTTTAGGGGACTATGAAGCATGAAAGTACTCGTTATGGGTTTATGATTTCATGAAGAAGAAATGCTGAGGTGGGGGAAAATGAAGCATGTGCAACAGGAAATATTTATGTACCTATTTTGTCATATGGGCAAACTGGAAAACAACGTCCACAACCATAGCAGCGTTCAGTTATTACTCCACTCTGCATATCAATATCAGTCAAAAAATTTTAAAAGGATTCATGACTTATGCACCTTCTTAAGGAAACCAAATTGGATAATTGGTGTTTAAAAACCTTTTGTTCACCAGTTTGATTGGCACGATAAAAAACTTCTGCTATTGATTTTTCTTTCTCAAATAATATAGCACTGGCAGGACAAACATTCTCACAAGGTCTTGGACAGTCCAAGGGACAATTCTCTGGATCAAATTCTAAGAAAGTAATACTAGAGTCAGCTCAAATAAAACATGAATGAAAATTATTAAGCCTGTTCAAAAGCATATGCATGAACAAGAAGATGGTGAAGTCTCAGCATTAACTATATATTAGCTTCCCTTGAGACAATGATGCTACCATAAAAATTCCTTTCCTTTACTAGGAGAGCTATGAACCTGCTAAATGTCATGGCCAGAAGAATCTTGCCTCAAGAAATCCATTCCACATTCAGTAATGTCTCAAAAACAATGACTACCTAGTTTCTTATTGTCCGATGACAGCCTCCCACCCTTAATCACACTTTATCTCTGCTTCAAAAGGGTAGGTTTTAATATTAAGTAAACATAATTCTATGACAGGAGATTCGAAATTCAAGGCATTGATCATCCACTATTCAAGTAAAAATGCAGCATTTACCAGCTTTACGAAAATGAAGGTCCTCATCATCATTAACACTGACCATAACCCAAGGCCTCCTAAGGGGTACAATCTCCCTTGCCGCTTCAATACCCTCATTTACAGCACTCACTACTGATGCATCCGCAGCACAGTCGATGCAATCAACTGCAATCATTCATCCATATCCTCAAATAATTCAGAAATTTGACTCACCATAAACCCAGATAATTATGCACATTGACACAATTAGTAAAAGAAAAAGAGAAGAGATTTCCATTAATGTCATTAAAGAGACACTACCTCCTGCAAGAGTGTAAACTAAGGAGAGATTCCTGATATCAACCACATCCTAGAGAACAAGAATTAAAACTGAGAGTGAACTTCTACAAATTATGAAATTGTAGTACATGGGATTTAAGAAGAAGAGTGTATAATTTAGCTACCTCAAAGCTAGCCCCACATATGAGCTTGACCCAGTTGCCCTTTTGGAGAGATTCATCAGGAGAACATGAAATTGACGGAACCCCAACTCTACTTACAAGATTTTTCACATTTTGATGACATTTATTGCTCCCAGATGTCAACTTTACTGCAACAAGAAAACAGAGACATAGGGAAGATTTTCTTCCAACTTAAGGAGTGAAAGAAAAAGAAAAAGAAAAATAAGCTACCTTGACGTTGTGCAGGAAACGCAGAATTATAGAAGTTCAAAGCCATTACAATTACCCAGTACCCTGTAAATAAAATGGATAATACTTCCAATAAATAAAAATGTTTTTCGTCATAGATATTTTTTAGATATTTGGGCCAATTGGGTTTTCCCCGATTCTCTCCGAGCCCATCCTGTAAAACTCTCCAATAGGTTTTTTATTTGAACCTAGGTTGCAGAATAAGATGGCAACCTACACCATGCTTTACACTTCATCTTTACCTGTATGTCTTGTTATGTGTATTTAAAATTTTTTACTTGCAATGAAAAAGAATTCCACTGATGAACTAAACTTACAATGAAAGAAGATTACTACTGGCAAAATCTCCAATAGTGGTTCCGTTAAACTAAATTCGCACAAGTAATGGTAAGAGCTTATTATTATTTTTTTTTTGTTTTGTAAAATCCAAATTTAAGCCTGAATAAACGCCTAATGCTATTTTAAAGAGGCTGTAAAAGCTACATTGCAGTTTCTTTCCGTTTCTCGCTACCCACCACTCCATTCCTAACGTACCTTTGAACCCAGCAAAAGAAAATTACACAAAATTATCATTTTCTCTGTTTCTTGAATTTTCCCCCTGAAAATTCCAACAAGATCTCTATGTCTCTGCAGTTTAGAGGAAGAAAAGGAGATTTAATACTCTAAACTCATTGTAATTGATCCATGAACAAATGCATTCAGTTATTGTTTTCTGAGTTTTTTTTGTCTCATTTGCTTCCTCTGTTACAGGTTCCTATGTTCTTGCCCTGTTTTCCCCTGAATTTCCATTTCCAATTTCTCCAGATTCTTGAACGTTCCCTTAAATCCATCAAAAGGGCTTCCTTTCCCAGATATGAAATCCAAAACCCATATTTTTATTTCTTTAATTTTCTTGTGTCTTACAATCAATACAATTCAAGCTCAAAACAAAACCTCTCCTTCATATGTCCTTGACTGTGGTGCTTCTGGTGACGGTACCGATTCGGATGGACGGAAATGGACTCAGGATACAAAGTTTCTTAACTCCTCTGACAAAACGGCAACGGCAAAAGCCCAATCCCAAGACCCAGCTCTGCCATCTCCAGTTCCATACATGACCGCTAGGATTTTCACCTCGCCATCTTCATACATGTTCCCTGTTTCGCCGGCGACCCGCCTCTGGCTCCGGCTTCATTTCTACCCATCTACATATAACAACCTTTTTGCGTTGGATTCATATTTTTCAGTTGTAGCAGACGGCTTCACCCTCCTGAAAAATTTCAGCGCCTTCATCACGGCGGAGGCGCTCACACAAGCCTACATTGTCAGAGAATTCTCCCTTACCCCTGCCATCTCCGGCAAGCTCAATGTTACTTTTATACCCTCTACAGAGCACAACAGATCCTTTGCATTTGTCAATGGCATTGAGGTGATCCCAATGCCGGATATTTTCCAGCCAGCAGCTTTGGTCGGGTTCAATGATCAATCTGTTGACGTTAACAGCTCCTCCTTGCAAACAATGATCAGGCTGAACGTCGGTGGACAATATATTTCGGCAACAAAAGATTCCGGTCTGACACGAACATGGTACGATGATTCACCATACATTTTCGGAGCTGGACTAGGTGTCACATTTCATGCTGATCAAAATGCCACAATTAAGTATTCAACAGATGCCTCAAAGGAAATTGCACCATTGGATGTTTACAGCACAGCAAGATCAATGGGGGGAAATCCAGAAGTTAACAAGAAATATAATCTCACATGGGTTTTTCAGGTTGATGCAAACTTCACATATGTTCTGAGATTTCATTTCTGTGAGCTTCTGTTCACCAAGGTTAATCAAAGGTCGTTTGATATTTATATCAACAATCAGACGGCTCAGCATGGTGCTGATGTAATTGCCTGGTCAGGATCCAGAGGGGTGCCTGTGTACAAGGATTTTGCAATTTATGTTTCTGATCAAGTTGGTGTTGATGACCAGATATGGGTGGCATTGACTCCGACGGTGTCCATGAATCCTGAATTCATGGATGCAATTCTGAATGGATTGGAGATTTTCAAGGTTAATGATTCAAGTGGGAATTTGGCCGGTCCTAATCCAGTCCCGTCAGATATGCTTCTCCAGGCAGAGGCGAAAGGGCGGAGTTTCTCTTCCGGGAGTTCTTCCCATGTCATTGGAGGGGTTGCTGGAGGCATTGCCGGATGTGCTGTAGCGGCTGTTGTAGTCATTACTGTCTCAAAGAAGAGGAAAAGAATGAATAATGGTCAATCGAGTGGTATCAACTGGTTGCCCCTCTACAGCCATTCCCACACCACTGCTCAGAGTACCAACAGCAACAGCAGCCATCTATCCACCCTGGCAGCTGGATTCTGTAGGCATTTCTCCTTCTCGGAGATCAAACATGGCACCAAGAACTTCAATGAGTCCCTGGTTATTGGAGTGGGAGGCTTTGGTAAAGTCTACAAGGGTGTCATAGATGGAGGGACAAAAGTTGCCATAAAAAGATCAAACCCATCTTCTGAACAAGGAATTACTGAATTTCAGACTGAAATCGAGATGCTTTCCAAGCTGAGACACAAGCACTTAGTGTCATTGATAGGGTTTTGTGAAGAAGATGGAGAGATGATCTTGGTTTATGACTACATGGCTAATGGAACATTAAGGGAGCACCTTTACGAGACTAATAAACCCTCTTTGTCCTGGAAGCAAAGGCTAGATATATGCATTGGGGCCGCCAGGGGACTTCACTATCTTCACACAGGGGCCAAGTACACAATTATTCATAGAGATGTCAAGACTACAAACATTTTGTTGGATGATAAATGGGTGGCTAAAGTTTCTGATTTTGGATTGTCCAAAACAGGATCAGATCTTAACCAGACCCATGTTAGTACTGTGGTGAAAGGTAGTTTTGGATACTTGGATCCTGAATACTTTCGTAGGCAACAATTGACAGAAAAATCTGATGTCTACTCTTTCGGAGTAGTCCTTTTTGAGGTCTTGTGTGCAAGGCCAGCATTGAACCCTAGCTTGCCCAAGGAGCAGATAAGCCTTGCAGATTGGGCTCTACTATGCCAGAGGAAAGGCACACTCGATGAAATTATAGACCCTCAACTCAAGGGAAAGATCAATCCCGAATGCCTAAAGAAGTTTGCAGACACAGCGCAAAAGTGTTTAGCTGATCATGGGCTTCATCGTCCCTCAATGGGGGATGTTCTCTGGAACCTGGAATTTGCCATGCAGCTTCAAGAAAACCCTGAAGCAGCCAAAAGGTTCCAACTCCCAGAAAATAATTCTGAAAAAGATAGAGAAACGCTAGATGTTGTGGAGGACACCACAGAGGGGGAGGTTGATGAACATATGAAGGCTATTTTCCAACAGTTAGTGAATTCCAGTGCGAGATGATCAGGAAGTGCTGGAACCTGGACAGATTGATTTCAGTGAACTTCTTGCATTATGTTCAGTAATATACTGATCATGTATGTTATTTTTCTCTTTGACATTATATACGTATACAGTTATGAATTTAAGATTTTAATTAGCTGATATACTAATTGGAGTAAGTTCCTCTGTTTTTTGGAATTTCTAATTTCAGTTGCAGAGAAGCTTAATTACAAAAAAACATATTGAGGTTTCTTAACATTTTTCTTGAGCAGTGAGCCTTGATGTTTACATTCAACCTCTTTTTTCAGCTTCAGAAAGAAGTACCGAAGTTCCACCTTGCAGCTTTTGCTTCTTTCTTTTTGATATCTTTTTGTCTCTCCTCACAAAACAGCACTTACTGAATTTCTCCAATCAATCTCAGAAAGGAAAAATAAAAAGAAACAAATTAGCAGCTTGTGCTGAACTTCTTAGTTCTTTTCCTTTTTCTGCCAGCAAGACATTGGTCCAATAGCTAAGGACCTGGGCTGAGCTATTGTGAAGTTTCACGTTTGAATCTCACTACCTCAAATACAAACAGGAAGGTAAAAAAAGAAGTGAAAATGGAGAACACAAATACTGAAAACAAACTTCATTATCTTCTCTTGCTTTCTGGAATTATATAAGTTTTCATGGTACTGTTTTGGGGTTTGGTTGCATATGGAAAATATGCACAAGAGTAGAGAGCTCAGCAGAATTTAGCAGATTTGAAAGCAAGGGGGTACATGAAGGAGTTAGAGTAAGTGAATCTGATTGTTTGGCCAGTTTTCAAAGGCTTTCCTCCATTAACCAAGCAATCATCATACATTACCCTTTTGAATGTTCTTGGATTCACCATTCGTGCAGAGGCAAACCAGCCACAATGGAGATGGATATCCCAGGGAAGACAACCGTGGACACAAGTGTTCACAATCTGAACTATGTACTGTGGAATCCCAGACGTAATATCCTTACTTTGAAAAATGCTTATATCTCTGTTTGTACAAGAACCTGATCAAAGAAGAAAGCATGTATAGAATAGAATATCTAAAAGGTCCATGATAAATTAAAACCTATGAATATATTGAAATACATGTTCATTTACCATGGAACAAAAGCTTTCTGTTTGGAATGACCAAATTTGTATCTCCATGAGTGGAATGCAGAAGCTTCTTTGAAGGTGCTGCCAGAAATGGGAATGAAAAACGAAAAAAAAAAAAAGAAGAAGTTACAATTCCCAGGAGAAACAGAGGTAGAGAAGAGTACCTGGATTATGATTACAGGACATAATGATGAACATCAAGAACATCAAGTAGAAGATGCAAAGAGGACAGGATCCCATATGAAGATATATTTGTATG